GTTCTGTTTTAAAATTAAGTAATTTGATAAGATATTCTATTAGGATTTTATATTGATTTTGGTAAATCAGCCAGAGGGATTATGTTTCCAAAACCAGACTTCTGTTGATTAGATGCTGAGATTAATTAAGAACTTTAATTGGATCATGTTGTCATGTCTCTTTCGTACCTTTTTATTTGAAGAGTACCGTACGAAAGCCTGTTTGGAGGTGTTGTGGCATTTAGCAAGGATCACTTCAAATTCATAAACGGTTTTGCAAACAGGTATTTTGGTTGGGGCGGAGAAGATGATGATATCAAACGACGGTAAGTTCCGTGTCAATTGTTGATCGTCATGGGCTTACTCGGGCCTTGGCGACTAATCTTATTATACAATTATAAATAGATTAAACTCTAAAGCCAATACGATTTTTGCTTCTTTATCTGATTGCTAAATAACTCACGCTTTTGTCCGTCTACAGTATATCCACCAGTTTTTCTATCTGTTTCTTCCGTCTGTCCGTCCGTCCAACTGTCCATGGTTCTTTATTTTTCAGGGTTGACAACCGTGGCTTAACAGTGGTCCGGCCACCCGACAGTGTAGCAAGGTACTCCATGCTGAAACACGGTGCAGAAGCCGGCAACAAAGCGAACCCAATAAGGTTTATAACGCTTTTAAGATATAGATAAATACATATATAGTAGTTCTCTTTAAAGCTATGATCATGTGTCACATTGGTGTAAAGAAGGCATTTTCACTAAAACGATGATGGCTTAAAGCAATAATAACTCTTCCTTTGAGATTCAAAATTCCGCATGAAATACATTGTAAACAACGCATGGAAATATATTCTATTGTATTTTACCACTAAAACGGCCGTTATTGTAGTAAAACTAAAATCTGTGCTTGTCAATGGGGCTTTCGGTGCCTTTCTTCCCAGTCATCAAAGCATTCGTTGCTTATGACGTTATGGTGTCACGCGGATTCTCGCGTTCATTCGAGACCAATATAACATGGCGCCAAACGCATTAATGCGGACGCAGACGTAAGTTGCGAGTTTTTGTACAGTGCGTCGGATAACGAAAAGCCCAGAATGGCACACATTGTGGATATAAATGCATTTTTAACAAAAAGACGAATATATCTCATGAATCTTATATAGTGTTGTTGTTGTTGTCTGCTTTTCCCGCGGTTTTAAGTAGGTCACCAGTGACTTTGCAATGTCAGAGAGAGCTCCGTCAGTTAAAATCTTTTTTAACAAAAACCGTACGTTTAGGAAAAAACCCTGGATTAACTTTGAATGCAGGAATGGGGTCGTTGACCATTGGTAAGTACGGGAAAATTGCCGTTTTTTCCAGGAAAATTCAATTTTTGGCCAAAACGAAGAGTTATTATGACTTTAATCACTTTCAGTACCCATAACGGGTATCCAGACCCATCATTCTCAGTATTTTTTTTTTCCTTGTCGCAAACTTATTAAAAAACCTAGCACTCACGTGAAATATTTCTACTAGTGACATATGAAGATGGCCGATGGCACGCAGAAGTATTTCACGTGTGTATTTAGTTTTTTATATAGTTTTTGACAAAGGAGTATTTTCATTTCCACACGCTGTACATCTGACGCGCTTAAATGCATTGTAAAAATATACCTCAGCCTAGAGTTCAGCACATACTGCAGAGACATGATTTAAGACTCCAAATATTCTCTTTTAGGTATTTTGAAATGAAACGTGCGTTGGATGTCCAAAATGTAGATGGTCTCAGCTCAATGGTATTCAATCCCAATATGTACAAAGTACTGGATACAAAACTGATGGATCTATACACAAAAATAACCGTCGAGATTCACAAAATTGAAGTATTAAAGGTACCCTTTGTTCGTTTGTTTATTAACGTTCTGTTAAAAAGCAAAAACAAATGAAAGAAAATAGCTAAACATAGCTAGATTTGTAAAGATATATTTGTAAGCGTGTATGCTTGCAGACGCAGATACACAACTCAAGCTTAAAATGATTATTTTAGAGATTTCATATCATCAAATCATTATTCTCAACTTAAAGTTGGACTTTTAATTCAAAGACGTCAAAAAAAATTAAAAAAAAAAGATGAACAGTCGATATCCACTTGAAAAATATATAATTTACTATGCGCATATTTTTCAGGTACTTCCAACTTTGTTCCCGATTAGGCCACGTCACCCTTGGATTTCTTCAAAATTTAGAAAATTAATAGCAATGGAGAAAGCTTAATTAGCATTAGCTCTGACCACCTGAAAAATCTGAATCAAACTAAAAAGAAAGTCTTATGTAGATCCGTAGATAAATTTCCCGTTTCATATGTACATTCATATCTTGCTCACAAGAAAAAAAAATTGAAGACGTGTAGTACTGGAAGACAAAACAGTACACCTTCAATATAGACACGAGAGTGCAGAGTTGGTTCTCCAGGAAATTGATCAGCGTACCACGAGCAGCAAACCACCAGCAATGTGCCAAAATTAGAAATACAACGCGAGACTAAACCCTAGATCACATTGACCACGAGCGCCGTACGATGAAATCGTACACGATTTTTTTTTTTTTTTTTTTTTTTTTTAGATTTTTATGACATCGTAGGTGGCTACGGGCTACGGCGAGAATGTTTCGTTACGTGTGAGTACCGAATGTGCCATTTCGCCGACATGACTTCGAGGAAACGTAGGGAAAATTCGGTTTGTCGGTTGGAAAATGATTGTACGGAGCCCTTTCAATTTTAGTGCAGTTTCCGCACGCCTTCTGTGGGGCTTCTATGAAGATCGATGCGTTGTCGATGCAGATCTCTACGAGTTGTAAGCGTATGGTCAGGATGGTCAGAATGAGGAAACGCACAACTTCAAATTACATTAAGTTTTTAACATATTTACTATTGCAATGCCTCCTAAAACTACCAGATGTGGAAGAAAAAGAAACCAATATTGAAAACCGGTTGCAGGGTAATCACAAGTTCGCACAGATGATATATGTTGCAAAATTATGACAGTAGCAGGCTCCACATCAATTCCCGTCTAAGAAGACAATGGAAGCGTTGTAGACAACTTTTAGTAAAANAAATCGTACACGATTTTTTTTTTTTTTTTTTTTTTTTTTAGATTTTTATGACATCGTAGGTGGCTACGGGCTACGGCGAGAATGTTTCGTTACGTGTGAGTACCGAATGTGCCATTTCGCCGACATGACTTCGAGGAAACGTAGGGAAAATTCGGTTTGTCGGTTGGAAAATGATTGTACGGAGCCCTTTCAATTTTAGTGCAGTTTCCGCACGCCTTCTGTGGGGCTTCTATGAAGATCGATGCGTTGTCGATGCAGATCTCTACGAGTTGTAAGCGTATGGTCAGGATGGTCAGAATGAGGAAACGCACAACTTCAAATTACATTAAGTTTTTAACATATTTACTATTGCAATGCCTCCTAAAACTACCAGATGTGGAAGAAAAAGAAACCAATATTGAAAACCGGTTGCAGGGTAATCACAAGTTCGCACAGATGATATATGTTGCAAAATTATGACAGTAGCAGGCTCCACATCAATTCCCGTCTAAGAAGACAATGGAAGCGTTGTAGACAACTTTTAGTAAAATGGTACCTTCACAAAGAGCAGGAAACGTGTTGGCTGCTGCAATATTTCAAAGTTGGGTCTGTACTTTATCATGCATTCTGCTCATTTTACAATATATATCAAATTCGTTTTGTAATAAGCACTGTGATAATAACAATTATAAATTTGGATATGTTTTGGTACTTGTTAATCTTCAAGTATCCCTTGACATTATTTTGCTTCAATACTTGATCTCTTTGAGTTAGCAAGTCCTGTGCATTTACGGTCACACTGAAGAAAAACATCTTTGCTACTTGCAACTGCCACCGGTTGCACAAAGTGGTTGGCGAGCTGTTGCTACAACTCGCAAAAGGGTTTCCTAACGAATGCTTAGTTAGTGTCTAGTTTCGGTGCATTAACGAGAACCTACGGGCGACCGAAAAACTTATTTGTAACATCGAACCGGTTGCTAACAGGACGCCGATTGAACTGCTATGCAACTGAATATGAGGTTTTCCCTCTGAGCGCATTCAGAACAGATGATCCGAGGACTAGCTCATCCACACACTAAGACCCCATTTCCAGAGATTAGATCGATCTACTTTAGATCGACCTAACTCCCTGGGGGTTCACGCTAAATAGCTGTCAACCTAGCAGACACGAAAGTTAATTACCCCCTTACAGCTTGTAGTAGGCGGGACGGACATTTAAGCCGGATTATCTGACAGTAATCTAGTGAGACTCCCCGCGGGGATAGATCGATCTAAAAGCTCTGGGAATACAGCCTAAGCCACTGATGATCTCCCCGCATCCACACGCGCCATTAAACGGATTAAATCTCGGCTTCGTATGCAGGGGCGGCACGTGTGGAGACGGGGGGACCATCATGAGATTAATCAGCTATGCTTTTGAGGCCCCATTCAGAATAGGAGACTAAAAGTCCGAGGGTCAAATATGGCCGACCCACTTGAATACTTCCCCACGGGATGTCTATTCAGTGTCTATTAGCGGATTAAACGGCAAGCTTTGTATTGGGTCGCCATATTTGACCCTTGGACTAGTTAGTCCTCTATTCTGAATGGGGCCTGAGTGGTTGGCTATATTTGATCCGTGGTTCTGTTAGTCCGCGGATCAACTTCTGAATGCGCTCTATGTCGCTTTAGTCCCAGGCGTTTCACACTGCAATACAAAGTTATAATTGTGACAGGTCGTGCAAATCCTGTACTTTTTACATTCCTATAGTGAGGATAACTAGCAATGGAAGCAATGTTCAATTGTATTTCCTAAATTTATTTTAGTTTTATTTGTATATTGATGATTCTTGGAAGTTTTTTAATGATGTGCTATGTATTTTTTATATAATTCTAATCATTGAGAATATGGTAATTGACAGGAATTATATATTGCCAGTTTGACTTTTTATTTTCTGTTTTTTCCTCCATCCTCTTATTTATAAACATGGTTTTGCAAATTTAAAATGAGATTCTGCCAAGAAACATTGAGGGTATCGACATACATACAAGGGTTTTTTTTACAAAATAATAAAAGAAATAAACATAACGTCAAAAACTTGCACATCGGTACTTGAGGCTTTTATGGAATTTACAATACGTGGCGTAACCTCGCTTTAGAGCGGTCTTATGTTACAAGACATTTTTAACCTTAAAGATGAACACAAAGTCAATTTTTCGCCTCAAAAGCCAACCAAACGCCAGCATCTAGTTTCACGTAGTATAACTAAGAGAATTGCCAAAAAGCATTGTATAATTTTACCTGAAAATGATGTTTGAACGGATTTTTCTGCTAGCATTCTACGTATGTCAATGGGTTATAAGTCGGTTGAGTCAATAGCTTAACGCAAATTCGCTTGTTTTCAATGATGGCAAAACATAAGTAGTTCGTTTTTCTAAAGATGCAGAAAAATTAGTACTATTAGAAATCGGCAACAGTAAGGTCACGACAAAAGATGAGGTTAAAAACCTAGAAGTAACTTTTGATAACCTGGTGCAATATGGTCGATACCAGTAAAAAAATACAGAACCACTTTCTATGGTCTTTAAAAATCTCCAAACTATCCCATATCCTTGACAAGGCGAAAAAAGTCCTGGTGTTGTTTGAATTCCTCATCAAAGGTGTCTTGCCTCTGTGAGTGTGTGTCTGCTTGTGCAGATAATAAATGCACTGATGGGCAAGGACGTCCCATCCTGACAGAGGTGCCTCGCCTTTGTATATGTGTATCTGCTCGAGACAAGCCACAATGAAGAAATACGTTAACAAGTGTCTCGCTCGTGGCGATTTTTGTAATCACACAAAAGCAGTTCGCTTTTGTGGCTGCGGTGCTTCCAGAGTGTAGTGAGGCGGTGAGGACAGTCACCTGAGTGTGCTAAGGTCACTAATGTGAGCTATGGAGTTCAGACAACGACGTGTTGGTTGCTCATTAAAGCACTCTCTTGTCAAAGGACAATGGGTCGCGCCGTGCTTTATTTCGTGTAAAGTAACGTCATCCACGAGTGCACAGAACTAACGAGGTAATACCGGCCCGTAGCCAGCAATTTCAAAAGGGGGATTCTTTTTCTGAAAAAGTGGACCTTTTCCCATAAAAAACTTCTTGTACCTAGATCATATTTTACCCAGAGTGGACCTTTTCCCAGCAAAAAGGGCGGTTCATTCGAACCCCCCGAACCCCCCTGGCTACGGGCCTGTAAAAGGACTACCCTCTACCAGAATGACAGACTGATTTTTCACAAGATATTCACAAATATGTCTTGAGATAAATAGACAGTCATTTCACTCTCTGCCACACTGTAATGAAATCTCAAAGATGATTACATAGTTGGTAATTGTTTGCATAATTACTCAGGCACTGCCACTTTTAAGGCCCAAGCTAAGTTCCCTTGACAGCAATCAAGGCAGTTAATTGCTCTACTTTTGATCACTTGCTTTTTTTGTGACGTATAAAAAATAGCCCCTTATGAATAGCTTGTTACTTCAGACTGAAGTTAACTGAGGAATCTCCTGTAATAGCTCCCTACAGATCGAGTGCGACGCCATCTGCGCGCGGACAGATTTAATTGCTTCCATCTGGCCAAAAGTCACGGGGTGGCTTTTTCAAATTTCCTTATAATATCTGCCTCCCTGGTAGAGGGTATAATAGGACGGTCACTGGACTTTAAGCATTTTAATGATTTTAATGATTAAAATCAACCTACGAGTTTCAGTAATCGCGCAGGAAAAAAATGAACACGTATAAGAAGAATGAAACATTTTCAAGTTTTATTGCATACTTTCTTCAGTCATCACGCAGAAAAGAAGATGAAAAGAAATTAGTAGAAATGAATATTTCAGGTTTTATTTCATACTTGCAGTTATAACAATTAACGGAGGTTACTGTGACATAAGTTAGCTTTCATAGTTTACATTTTCTACATCTCTAGGGTAATTTTCTTTGAATTTTGACCAATACAACTTTAACAATTTCTGAAGGAATCTGAGTTCAAGATAAGGATTGGGTCTTTTCTTCCATGGTCTTCTTTATTAGGATGAATATCCAGCTTCGAACGACCCATCCTTTAAACATGGGATGGGCCAGTGGGGGTGTTTCATGGTGAGGGACTTAACGTCCACCGTTCACTTAACAGATTTACAGCCCATTTATCCGGTAGTACTTGCTTGCGTTTTGCTTGGTATTCTGGCTGCCAAATTCTGAGAGAATTCAGAACTAGCCAACGGCTTCAAGAACCTCTCCAGCTGCTAATCTTTAATGTCAACTTTAAAAAGATTTTTGTTGGAATTTCCATCAATTGAGACAGAGAGACGCCGTTTTCCATTGTTACTTCTGAGTTATGTTACCTGCTGAATGACACAGATAAGTGACGCTATTGGTGTGACCGCGTGTTACCTGCCTCGCCAACTATCTGCTCTATTTCTCGTAAAGCTCAGCGCCTCGTACTTTATCTATACCATAGTCGAGTGAGAACTCTATTTGGGGGTGGTTGGCTCATGTCTTGGTTAAACTACTTCTTATCAAAATAACACGGTCCAAGACTGGGTCCCAGCAGACGTGTGTTTTGACAATGCCCCTAGTTAAAAGCTGAAGGTTACTTTCGGGACGCTCGAGTTTGGAGAATGGTGCTGTAATTCCCTTGGATATGTTTATTTAACGTATGTGTGAGGGAATGATTTGACGCTTCACGGTTTTACAGTTCTGATCTGATATAAAATAACTGTTAGCCGTGGACAATGTACTATTTTTGGCTTGCGTGGTGTGGGGCGTCTCACCTCAGTGTGGGGTAGAGAGAAGTGTCTCACCTCTGTACGAGTTTGACCTAAAGAAATCGGTCGTGCGAGAGACATAAAGAACGATAGGGCAGAGGGGTTGGACTGGTTGCAGAAAGCGTTTTTCGGTCAACAAGTGACCTTCATCAACTACAGAGTCCTAGTGATGGGGGGTGAGGGGTGGTGGTTGAGAATAGGGGTGGTAAGTGGTCAGT